ATGGCCACATTAACATGATGCGTCATATTTTAAATATCAATTCTAAATAAATCGTAATTAAGTGCACTCGTCTCATATATATATATATTAATATTGTGTGCAAAACATATAACTTCTTTAGTCCATATGAATAATATTTAGGTTCACATTTGTCTTTATTTCATTTATATGATAGAACAGTGTCGCAATTTCTAATAGCTAAGCTTATGTTTTCAATATGATGATGCCGATTCCCGTTAGACTAGAAGGTTAAACCGGAATGTTTATAAAAATAAACTGTTTTTATATTGCAGCAATACAAATCTTTTCGTCCATCTTTCAAATTAAATAATATAGCTTCAGTTTGTTCCTGTGTTTTTTATTTGGAATATTCCATTATAATGTGTAGGTATCAGGTAGTAGATAATCTGTTCACTGAACCGTAAATGTTGTTGTTTTAAGGTGTCTGCGAACTGGCTGTCTGCGTAATGGGAGGTCACCATATTAAAAGCTCTGACACAATTGACAGACTTAAAACCTGTTCTCAGTATATTACTTATAATCTCGGCTGTAAATATTCTCGTGTAAATTATAGATCTGTACACAGCTCTTTGAGCATGCCCACTGATGTGGAATAGGCGCACTATAAATATGCAATTATTATTATTACATTATGCTTGATACCCAGCGTTCTCACGCACTTGCACCTGAAACCAAGGTGCTCAGTACCCTAATATTTTGCTCTAGGTTTTTTCTCCACGTTTACACTTGGTTGGAAAAATACCCATGAAGGACCGTGTTAGAATATTGAACTTCAATAACCCATGCCTGTCGTAAGAGGCCACTAACGGGATCGGGTGGTCAGGCTCGCTGACTTGGTTGACACATGTCATCGGTTCCCAACTGCGCAGATCGATGCGCATGCTGTTGATCACTGGATTGTTTGGTCCAGACTCGATTATTTATAGCTAAGATACAATGCGTTCACTAACATGAACGCTTATGTTAGTGAACGCTATGCATCTTAGCTAGATTATTTACAGACCGCCGCCATATAGCTGGACTATTGCTGAGTGCGGCGTAAATCTAAACTCACTCACTCACTCAGTTGGTTCGTAAACTACTTTCTATGATTTGCTAGACTATGCAAAGGGAGATAACGCGTGCCTCGCATTCCTCTATCTCTCGCACGAAAGAGTCTCGATCTAAGCTTGGATCGGATCGTAAGATCGGGACCGGCTACAATCGGCCTAAGATCGGTTAGTGGAACGGGTGTAACTTTTAGCTAAGGCGATTGTAAAATTGGCGTAACTTGCTAAGATTGATCTTAGATAAGATCGGTTAGTGGAACGGCACCCCGGTATTTATCCCCCCGCAACGCGTTTTGTGGGGGGGTATTAAAATGGACTCCGTCCGTCCGTCCGTGCACATTTGTCTTTTCCGGAGCAGAACCGTTCAATATTTCTTCACCAAACTTGGCACATACATGGATCTGGTGGTGTACTGGTGCCTTTTGGTAGTTTTGGAAGTCTGAATAAAATATTTTGGCGTTTCCATGGCAACAAGTTCGACTTTGACGGAAATTGGTGGTAGCGCTCTTTTCCGGAGCAGAACTCTAAAACCGTTCAATATTTCTTCACCAAACTTGGCACATAGATAGATCTGGTGGTGTACTGGTGCCTTTTGGTAGTTTTGGTATTCTGAATAAAATATTTTTGGCATTTCCATGGCAACAAGTGTGACATAGACTGAAATTGGTGATAGTGCTCCTTTCTGGAGCAGAACTTTCAAAACCTTTCAATACTCTCCTTCCACTTTTCTATATACACACCTAAATATTTGACATAATCATAACTCGTAGACTTAATCATGAAGAGTATTTTGCCATTGCGGGGGATATTGGTGACTTTGTCTTCTTGTTAACGTTACTTCTAGTAGGATCTACCAAACGATTTAAGTATAAAGAATATCCAAGGTTTAATAAGCAAACACATTTTCACGAATGAAAGGAAATGACAAGTGTCAAAATATGGTCTAGTTGGAAAAAAGACATAGGTAATTAAATATTTGTTAAAACTACCCATTTTAATGGAGTAATAAACCAATAAACGCCAAAAAAAAATTATTTCTATTTCTGCGAGTACTTAAATAATCTACATGTATTTCTGGTAAATGTTTGGCAATTTATTTATGTTTTTTTCACTCCAAATAAATATACGTAATGTGCTGGGCATATTTTAGGATTACAAGATCTGCAAGCGAATAGTTGGATATTTTTATTTTGAAATATAGACATATGAATTCCGTTCTAATTGCTTAAGTTGCCCGGAAGCCTCCACGACACATCTGTTTTTATTGTGGTATAATTATACGTAGGCTGAGCTAATTATAGACAGGATCTCCAAGCGAACAGTTGGGTCCGGCTTCGTGGGAAATATCTATAGTAACAGCAATACGGGAATAAAACAGTGACACATTAGAGTCACCCGCTTTGGTTGTGTGAAAATGAATATGCTAGTTCCAAAAAAAAGTAATGGTTCTCATTCCGCGGTATGAATTGCATCCAGCAATGTTGGTTGTTTGTAAATAACCGTGTCTGGACCAGACAATCTAGTGACTGACATTATGAGCATTTATCAACGCAATTTAAATTTGAAGGCATTCGTCAACAAAGTCAGAGAGCCTGACCACCCTATCTTTGGTCACCTGTTACGACAGGCATGGATTTCTGAAGACGAGGCTCCTTTCACGAAGCGACCTTTACTAAGGTTAACCTTAACTCCCATTCTTTAACATTGCACTAAGGTTACCTTTGTGACTTACGATCACCTTACTGCTTTGTGAAAGGAGGCCCAGGGCAATGTTAAAGAATGGGAGTTAAGGTTAACCTTAGTAAAGGTTGCTTTGTGAAAGGAGCCCCTGATCTATCGGGACCTTCTGGGGTGGCATACAGTTTCAATGCAAATGGGCACCATACGGTGAAATCCTGCTGCCACTTTGTGAGTTTGTGTGAGATTCCCCTGCTTTCAGCAACATCACAACTTCTGGTAAAATAATTTTTCAACTTCAAAACAGTAAACACCATTCATAACATTCCCAATGTGGGGAAGAAGCCCCTCTTAACGTATGCCGAGTCTGCTTTTCTGAAATATTACCATATTAATAGCCGTGAACATATGTCTGGTGCCTTCAACATCATTATGACTCAGGTAACAAAACAAGAAGAACCAAATAGAGTATATATGTTGTTTAATAAGATTTACCAAAAACAAGCTCACATTGACAGTTAAATTACATATTGAAAATGATCCAGTCAGGTTTTAACTGCTCTTTAGTGGAACAAAGTAAACAATATGAATGTAGTGACTGCTTACAGCTTCAGTACAGAGTGTAATAACAATACATAGCCATGCTTGAAGGGAATGATAGTTTCTGTTTCAATGTAGTACCATCGCTATCAGGATCAAGCATTTCCGTGAATGTTTCTTGTCGGGATCATATATTTTCTGTATGCCAGAATTCGGTTTTATACAAACATCCTCACACACTACATTAAAGTTTAGATATATTGCTCCACCAAAGATGTAAGAGATGCTCGCCAGCAAGTATTGTTAAAGGGACACAACTCTGTCGGGTAGAGGATTAATAAAGACGGGATAACACTGTAGTTCTATCACTTTTGTTTCAGCCTTACATTTCATGTTGTGTATATACACTTCACATCAATCTGTCTCATACAAATGAAATCCTTGTGACTTCAACTTGTTTATACAACTAGTCCACATTAATGACAACAGACACCAATCATTTACTTAAAATTCTACATGATAGCATAAAAATTCAAGCTTGATATAAAACAGTTTTCATACAAATAAATTCAATAAAAAGATTAAACTGAACTTTCATCTAAAAATTGTAAACAAAATCAATAATATTTGATGATGAGCAAATTAATCGACAGAACCAGACCTAGAACTGCACACAAAGTTGACAGTAATGTCAGCTTGAATATTCAGCATAGCCTCATTCAAGCTGTCCACATAACATATTTTAACACTTTTTCAACAATTCTATACATTAATAGATTTAGAACTGAAACACTAATTTTCACTATTCCTGCTTTCAGCAGACTATGATGAGCAATGATATTTACAGGACATTATCCTTGACATAAATAATGGCAATGCATGCATAATATGCTTTTATACAATATGATACACAGTAATATACAGAGCTTGAGTAGGAAGGATAGGAGCACTGAAGATGAACAGATAGGATAGGATAAAGCCTTGATAATACCTCACAGGCTTGTGTACACTACATTTTCCAATGATTCAGGAGGATAATACTGTATACAAACCATTGGAATATTGATGAAGTTTTGTTGTTTACAGTTTTACAAAGAGATTTGTCCTTGTAAGGTATGACTGACTGACTGAGTGAGTTTGGTTTTACGCCACTTTTAGCAATATTCCAGCAACATCACGACGGGGGACACCAGAAATGGGCTTCACACATTGTACCAATGTGGGGGCATTTGTAGGTCTCCAGAAGCGACGAGCCAACGCTTTAACCAGGCTACAGTTACAGGTCTTATAAGGTATGAGATATGACTGATGTTTATTGAGACTGTTTGTATTGGAATAGGACTATGAGCCCATTTCAAAGGCAATTGTTGCTCCAGAAGCGGGCCCTGGGTCCAGGATTTCATAATACAGTTATAAGGTCTATGATTGTCATATGTCTATATTAAAGTTAAAGCCACAATTTTTGTGCAACAGGCCACATAATTTTGTATTGTGCAACTTTGGGCAGTCATAATCTTCTGTGCATATGAATTCAGGCCAGAAATCCTCAAACCTTTGGGCTCTGGATTCAAGCTAGAAATCGCTGGTGCTGTGTATGAGTGAGTGAGTTTAGTTTTGGCGAGCTTAAACTTTAACCACTGTGCTGTGTATGAGTGAGTGAGTTTGGTTTTTACACCGCTTTAAGCAATATTCCAGCAACATCACGGCGGGGGACACTAGAAATGGGTTTCACACATTGTACCCATGTGGGGATTCGAACCCGGATCTTCAGCGTGACGAGCGAACGCTTTAACCACTGTGCTGTGTATGATTTAGTTCAGGGTAATAGCTAGAGCTGTAGTTTAAGGTCACAGCTACACTGTGTGCACATCACTTGCGGATTAGACTATATGCAGTCAAGTCCAACAAAGATTATATGAAGGTTTTAAATATTATGATTATAGAATGTGTTTTGTATTTATGAGAGAGGAGTGTTGCCCTGCCGCAGGGGCAGTTTGGTCTTGTTCTGGGGGGTGAGAGTTTTATTTGGGGTCCGTGTCGTTATGTTCTTCTTCACTCTGGATGAACTTGGTGGCTTCATCCGTTGCTTGTTTTCCTTGTTGGAAACCTGGAAACATAAATGTATTTAGAAAATTATAGGTCATAAATATAATTCCACATTTCAATTTGAAAACATAAATGTGATTTGAGGAATAATGTCCAATGTCACAGGAAAAAAACAAACTGAAGATATTTTAAAAGGACAAAGAAAATTTATTTTTTTTGTTCAAACAGTCATTAAATTGTATTTCATTACGCAAACAGTATGTTTAATATATATTTGGTGAATTCCTGACCTGCATATCATTTGATTTCATTTGTATACAGTGGTACCACAATAATAATTATGGGCCATACTTTAGACTACACATAAACATTTCATCAAATAGCATGAAACATTCACAAAATAATCCAGAGAGTCATGAAATATCAGAATCCCATGCTTCCTGTAATATGACAGTAAATTCATAATAATTCATCTCAATGAAGCTAGTGAGATACCCTGTCCTTCAAGTACATCATACCGCAGCCTCGTGTGTACATACCCGACTCTTGTCACTGAGTGTGGAGATGCCGGATGTGTTGGAGTTGGTGGAGACGTCACTGCCGGCGTCACTGAGGCTGTCAGATATGTCCTTCACATCCTGAAAGACAGCTGCTTGTTATACAACACATTCAATCAGGTAACACGGATCCAAATGACAAAAGATTTCCTTTTCAAACAATTTTTGATTTAATCATTTCTACATCTCTATGATTCAATAGGAAGCTTTCACTGTGAAATGTTTTTTTCAAAAATATTTTGATCAGAGAGTGTGGCTATTAATACTAGCCCAGACTAACACTGGTTTTTATAGTTATAGTCCATGGAGATACCATGCCGCAGATTAATATGGATGCCCCACTCAGACACATTACAGTGAGTGAGAGAGTGAGTTAAGTTTTACGCTGCTTTTAGCAATATTCCAGCAATATTGTGGCAGGCAAAACCAGAAATGGGTTTTACACATTGTACCCATGAGGGGAATCAAACCCGGGTCTTCGGTGTGATGAGCGACCGCTTTAACCACCAGGCTACCCTAACGCTCCAGACAGACACATTACATTGACCCCCAAGCTGACGATTTCTTGTGTTATCCCATAAATGTCAGGCACAAGACAGTCAAACAAGTAGCAACTTGTGATGTGTTTGAGCAACAAGATCATTTTGTATGGAGAATGAACCAATGATATTTTACGGTCTGGACAGACAATCTGTTAACTGGGCCAAGGAGGCAGTCAACAGGTATCGCGATGGGGTAACACATCTGATTTTATGGGATCGAAACTTACATAAACTTTGACAATATTGACAGGTTGATTCTAAATGTCTGGCAATAGGAAACTGCTGACCACGTACCTCAGGTTCTGGTGAACTGACCATCTTGTCGTCCACCTCTGCAGCTTCAAGGGCATCTGACAGACTGACTGCAAGGGGGTCAGCCTGTTGATGGTCCCGGAACTCTTTCAGCAAGGCATCGTGGGGGTCAGTCTTACTGAGGGCCCGGGGGTAGCTGAAGTCTCGCCTCTGGGGGGTTTGACCTGCCAGAACAATAACACAATGTAGTTAGAGTGTGTGACTGTTCAGAAAATGGGGAACCTAAGTGTCAAGTCAACTGATCTAAGGGAGACAACTTCCACATGTTTGCATTTCAGGAAACACTAGAATGTAATATGTAGCATTTCGATTCAGTTATAAATTTACTTGTTCACTGGAACGGCAGTACTTAAAAATATCTGTACATTCGATGTTTTAGGATGATAAGGTTAAATTCTACCATTACATGATTCAATGTGAGAGAAGCTCATTTCTGGTGTCCCCCGCCGTGATATTGCTGGAATATTGCTAAAAGCGGTGTAAAACCATACTCACTCACTCTACTGTTACATGGCCGATTTTAAATTAAGTTACTGGTCAATGGGGACAATATGATGTCTCTCAATAAGTTGATGGAAATGAATTATGATAATGAATTATATTTACCAAACAAGCTATTACACAGTCTCTAATTTTCAAATAATGTCCACCAATAACATTAAGATCATCCAACTTTAAACCTTTCAATTTTCCCAAATCATTTTCGTTGGTATGAATGTTAGGTTATTCAATCCAGTATATGTACATAATTTCATTCATATCTGACAGCAGCATATACATAACTGATTCTAGTCTAGACAATCCAGTGGCCAATATTGCAAGAAATGATCTTGCCATTGGAGTAGAATATACAACACATTCAACCAAGTCACAAAGTCTATCCATATAATCAACCAAACCAGTTAGGCTGTGGATCAACCAGGAGCCACCCACCTGTAGGAATGTCTTTGTGGAGTTCCTCTGCCATGAACTTGTCCACGTCACCCAGCCTAGCCTGCAGCTCCTCTGTGTGGGTCTGACTGAACGTCGTGGTCCCTGCATGCTGCTCATCCACACACTTCCTCTGCTGACCCAGCTCGGACACCTCCATCTCTAGATTCTCCCCGACACATGTAGACACCTGACTTGACACCTCCGACACTGATGCAGCCAGGGACTGAAGCAGACACATGGCCGTCAGAAAATACCAAGATAGCTCTTCCTTCTAAATATCTACAAAGTATACCTGTATTAAATTGAATCAGTTAATTATATGGACTTACAACACCAAAAAGCAGGTAGTGTTTCTGATTAGTAGTTAGAAATACTTCCATGCAGGTATAGGAATTAACATTGAAGGTCTACCAGCCTCGTGACTATATATACCTAGGTAAAACCATGATCACCCTTTAACACAAATGTCTTCAGGTTAGTGCTAATTTCATTCACTACCAATTCTATCACATGCTACACTTTCTGTTCGTTGTTTAAAACCACTCTGTAATATTCCAGCAGTAACACATTTGACATCATGGTCACTGATCCATGCAATTTAGGTAGATGACATGAAATGAATTACGTCACCAAACCTGACCAGCCAAGGTGAGATGATGTGAAATTGGGTTTCACGTTGTGCTTGAGAATATTTCGCTCATATGACGACGTGCATGCGTGTGTATGTGTATGTGTATGTACTAGCCCAGACTTAAGCTGGTTTTATAGTGCTAGCCCACTGAGATACCACGCCGCAGTAAGCATGAATACCCCACTCAGACACAGTATACTGACTCCGAGCCGACCAGACCAGTCCTTGTTGTACCCATTAATGCCGAGCGCCAGGCAGGGACCAACAAGTACCATATTTTAACGTCTTTTGGTATGACTCGGTCGGGGATGGAACCCGCGACCTTCCGCTCTCCGGGCGGACGCTCTAACCACTACACCACAGAGGTGGTCTGACCAGCCAAGCTCAGATGACAACCTTGAGTTGCTGGAGACATATATGCTCACCAGGAAGCCCTACAGCTTTCACTCACATGTGTTTTGTTTGCTTGCTGTCTAAAACCACACTCAGCAATAGAGATATGACAACAGCCTGTAAATATTTGAGTATCAACCAAACAATCCTGTGATTTGCATCAAGAGCATAAGTCTACAAGATTAGGACAAGATGACATGCATCAACCTAGTCAGCGAGCCTGACCACCCAATCCTATTAGTTGCCTCTTACAACAAGCAACAGTTCCTCAAGAATAACTTTAAGCCAAATCTTTACACAGACTGCACATTGTGGGGACACCTTACCTGTGTGTTGTTGAGATGTTGTTTCAGGTTGTCCTGCAGTGTTGTTCTGTGCTTGTCTAATGTTGTTGTTGTCTCACGGCTGTGGTCTTCCCAGGCCTAAACACAACAGCAAACAGCGTCACCCTAGTTCAGTATCCTCACAATTCACTTCACAATGAATATCTATTGTTGTATTTTCTTTCTTGTTTCATTTGGTTTCCATCCACTAATAAAGCTGCTAATAGGATGGACTGTAATGATGCTTGTATGACATCAACTGATTCATATTTTACATATATTTTAGTTTCACATTTCAGACTTGACAGGGATGTAAATTAATTAATTTTTTTTATTTAAATACTGAATAAATTTTATAACAGGTTCCATTTTGCTTTTGCCTTCCTATGCTTATGGCAGTTTTCCTCACAGCTAAAGTTCAAAATTGAGTGACATATTGAAAGTGAGAATTTGGAACTAGAACAGAATTCATCATGAACCCACTCTTTGTACTTTGGGCAGTCATTCTGGATCATTTACAATCTAAAAATACCAATCTAAGAAATTGCTGAATAATCCTAGTGAGGGTTTGAAAATATTATAACCCTCTATCCCCAAATGTTGCTATACTGCTTATGACATTCACACTTGGCCAAGCCTAATAAACTGTACAGGATTTACAAGTGAAGTCTGACGATGTAAGTCCTCACTGACAAGTAACATTGATGGTCCTAATTTCAAACCGGTCCTCAGTACTTTAGTTCTGCAACAAATTTCAACCAACTAAAAGTGATAGGAAAAGGAAACAAAGTGGACATTTCTGATTCGTTCAAGCAGGACAGCTGCAAACTCTCGGGATTAGAGTGAGAAGGTGTCCCGTGGACTGACCTGACATCTCTGCTTCAGGTTGTCTGTGATGTCTGTCTGAAGTTTCCCCACTTTCTTCTCATTGTCTTCAAGATTAGAACACATCTGCAAACATGATTTAGTCAGATGGGTCATAGATTTATTATGCACACACTTGATAACACGTAAAATATATTATTTAAGCTAAAACACACCAAATTCAGTCAGCTTCAATTTCCAAATAAAGGCATGAGTGTTTTGTAAAAGAACAAAAACAGTTTGTAAATAATCAAGTCTGGACCAGTGATCAACAGCATGAGCTTCAATCCACTCAACTGGGATATGATGATATGTGTCAACCAAGTCAGCGAGCCTGACCACCCGATCGCGTTAGTCGCCTCTTATGACAAGCATGGGTTGCTGAAGATCAATTCTAACCCGGACCTTCATGTGAGTATCTCTGCAACAAGAAGCACTGACTTCCACAATAGAAGCATTCTACAGAATCTTGATTATCTAACTGTAAAGACTGACCTTGTCGATCTGTTCCCATGTTGACTTCTCACAGCTGAGCAGCTGACTCTGTAGGTTGTCTGAACTGGTGGAGGAGTCAGTGGTAGCACTGTCTACAGCACTGCAATACACACATGCATGTAACATACATGACATTAATGGATAAATGTTTTTAATCTTCCAAGGATTTTTCTACATTTGCTCGAAAGGCCTATATTTGGCCCTAAATCGGCCGGAAATTACAGCAAAAAAATCCAAATTTGAACAAAAAACTTCCTAATTTCTCAAATATTGACAAAAATAAGCACATTAAATATAAATGTCACGAAATTGAAGGGTTAAAGGTAAAATTTCAAAATTATTGTAAAGGACACTTGCAATGTGATATAGGCATACATGCAAGGAAGAAGATTACAAGCATGCCTAATGATGGCAAAACAAAGGAGACGATACTGAAAGTTAACCTCAGCTGTGCAAAGAGACATAGCTGACAATGTTCCTCATTAATCTTTTAATAAAAAGATGTCACATACGACTGAACATCTGAAACACACACTATACCACAACAGAAGACGTTTTTGTTTTGAAAAGGTGAAAATGACAAGTAACAACATGGACATACCTCTGTATGCTAGAGGACAGCTGTGTCACATCTTCCTGTCTGTTTCCCAGTGCTTCCGTCACCTGAAGATGAGAGACAGCATTACAACACTGTTGGCCTTTAAACCCTGTACTATCATCAGAAAACGATTTTATAAGCTCTTAATTATGATATATGGTAGCACTCAATAGCTGTGCACAGGAACTAGAAGTCTTACTAGCTCCATGTAGAGTGGTTTTTCAGTCTGACAAGCAAGACCATGTCATATACCCTCTTTATGGAAAGGACAAGCAAGACCATGTCATCTACCCTATATATTGACCTCACAAGCAAGGCCATGTCGATTGTACCCTGTTTACTGATGGGACACACAAGGCCATGTCAAGTACCCTGTTTATTGACAGGACAAACAAGGTCATGTCCTGTACCCTGTTTACTGACAGGACAAACAAGGCCATGTCAAGTACCCTGTTTATTGACAGGACAAGCAAGGCCATGTCAAGTACCCTGTTTACTGACAGGACAAACAAGGCCATGTCAAGTACCCTGTTTATTGACAGGACAGACAAGGCCATATCAAGTACCCTGTTTATTGACAGGACAGACAAGGCCATGTCAAGTACCCTGTTTATTGACAGGACAAACAAGGCCTGTCAAGTACCCTGTTTATTGACAGGACAAACAAGGCCATGTCATCTACCCTGTTTATTGACAGGACAAACAAGGTCATGTCCTGTACCCTGTTTACTGACAGGACAAACAAGGCCATGTCGTCTACCCTGTTTATTGACAGGACAAGCAAGAACAGACCAAGTACCTTCAGTGTTGACCAAACAAGCGTATGTTGCATCACATAACTACCACTGTCCCTGTTGGTCTTACCTGTGTATTGTACTGGGCAACATGTGAGTGTTTGTTGTGTATCAGGTCAGTCAGTTCCTTCAGTTTCTCCTCTATGCTCTTCTGTAGAGTGCCATGAGTGGCCACATTCTCCTGGGATTGTGTTTGTAGTGTCACAATCTTCTCATGCTGGCTTTTCTCATAACTCCTCACAGTGTCTGTGATAGCACTCAAGTCTGTGTGGAGCTTCTGTGTGTGAGCCTTGATTAGGGCAGTCTGACTCTCTCGCTGTTAAAACAATTTACCATAAATAGGAAACAGCGCAATATTTGGAAAAACAAAGCACAGTAGGTGGGATTTATGGTAAGAAAACAATATAATCTCAAATACGAGGGTTGTTTTGCACTGTTGTGAAAATAACAAACCATGAAAGTCAAGGGGAAATGTCTCAACAGTTTGAAAAATCAGGGTAACAAGAGAACAAAGTCATCAATATCCTCTGCAATGGCAAAATACTTTTCATGATTATGTCTACGAGTTATAATTATGTCAAATATTTATGTGTGTATATAGAAAAGTGGAAGGAGAGTATTGAAAGGTTTTGAAAGTTCTGCTCCAGAAAATAGCACTATCACCAATTTCAGTCAAAGTACTAGTATAACTTGTTGCCATGGAAACGCCAAAATATTTTATTCAGAATTCCAAAACAACCAAAAGGCACCAGTACACCACCAGATATATGTATGTGCCAAGTTTGAAACATTGAACGGTTTTAGAGTTCTGCTCCGGAAAAGAACACTACCACTAATTTCAGTATTAGTCAAGCTTGTTGCCATGGAAATGCCCAAAATATATTATTCAGAAATCCATAAGTACCAAAAGGCACCAGTACACCGCCAGATCTATCTATGTGCCAAGTTTGGTGAAGAAATAGTGAACGGTTTTAGAGTTCTGTTCCGGAAAAGACAAAAGTGCACGGACGGACGCACGGACGGAGTCCATTTTAATACCCCCCGTAAAACGCGTTGCGGGGGATAACAATATCACAAGCAGCTGTTTTGAACAATGATTTGTGCCTGTCACAAGGCAGCAGTGTGGCCATAGTTTACTAATCCTCTTAACATTGCTTACAGAAAAGCATTAAACTTGTTTAGATTCTCATTAATTGCTCACTAACTTACCGGTATAATATTCTTACACTCTTTCAAATATTCCAGTACTTTTTTATATTGGCATGACACATATAGAGGATATTATATGAGTGCCCATGTCATACTATATTTACAACACAAGTGCCTTAATGTTGGTATTTCCCGAGTGAGAGCGAGGGATATACCGATATTTAGGCACGAGTGTCGTAAACATAGTATGATATGGGCACGAATATAATATTCTGTTAATTGCCGAAGTCATCAAATTGAGGAAAATAACCCCAATCTACTTTCAAACATAGGCTGTCTACCCGCCATCGCCGCATGTTGAATGCAACGTCACAGAAGAAACGTCACCATGACAAAGTGATATTTAGCCCTAGGGCATCGTATGAAAAATATGAACCCTGATATGTTCGCCCTCGTAGGTAATAATGATTTCACTAACCTGCTGCTGCACATACTCCGCCAAAGAGCTGAGAGATGAGCTGAGTTGCTTCATGTTGTTCTGCAGCTCGGTGAGCGAGGAAACAACCACAGTCTGAGTCAGGGAGTCCAGAGCTGACACCTCCGAACTCTGTCAGGAGAAAGAGGGTAGAGACATTAACAACACAATAGTAGTATGTTTGTGAATCTCTTGTACTATGTGTCTTTTGTAATATGTGCCTGCTGGATATAGATAAACTGTCTTACATCAGAGCTCCAGATCAGGTGAGTATTTGCTTAAAAGACACAAAATAGTTCAACATTACCCAATTTATTTTGATTTCTTTGTGTAAATATATGAAGGATAGATTTCAACACCCTTGAAGTACAACATTGCCCAATTTTTTCTCTTCAGATAACTATACTAACGGAACTGTATTTACTGATTATATGGCCACAGTCCACGTACATGAACTCTACAGCAGAGAAAATGCTTTAATAGGCTTGACATCTTGCTTATTGTTAGGTAAACTGTTGTGCTTTAACAATATTCCAGTTATATCATGTTCTGTTAGCTTAATGAGTTTGAGGTGACACAGGTTGAAGACATGTACTATTATTACTGCATGAAACACAAGCTTGGGAATGGTGCTCAGAACAATTGGGGGCAAATCAGGATTCAATCCCAGAATCATGGGTTTCTGGTGTCTCCAAGGAAATCATTTGAGACACCATTTTAGGCAAAATTATTGAAACAAAAGTATGGGTGCAAAAATACCCAACTGATTGGACCCAAGGGAGTAAAGTTATCATGAATACCTAAAGAATACTGCTAAATGTGAATAACTTGTGAGTAAATACTCGATGCCTCAAGAATTTATAAGGAGCCCTGCTTATATACTCAAACTCACAGTGTTTCAGCAAAGGTGTATCTCCAAATAAAATGCCCAATGCAATCAAGGTGGAACTCTTTCAATAACCCCAGTAGATCATAAGATTTATACAAACGACAGCATGAAAAGTGAGGTTTGAGGTAAGCAGCCAGAGTTACCCGCTGTTGGCTGTAGAGGGCCCTGTGGGGCCCTGTGGGGTGGTCTCACAAGACAAAAACGAGTTTTCCATTTTGTAAAATATTTTATTGAAATATTGTTACAACTGTCATATGTATTTAAAATGGACATTTTAATGCTTATATATGTACCCCAAGGATGACTTCTTCTGAAAAAGGGAATACATATACTGGTGACACATACAGTGTGCTACTATGTGTTAAGGGATGATCTCCACACCTGGAACTGACTACCTACCTTGGTGGACTGTACGGCCTCCTGGATGTGGGAGAGGGTGCTGAGACTGTCCTCGTGTCCCTGCTGTGTATGGGCGTCAACTGTCTTTACATGGGTACCAAGTAGGGACACCAGACCGGTCATCTGCGATGTCAAACTGTCTGCCTGTGATTTGCCACGGCTCAACATTGTTTCTGGAGGGAAATTGTTGCGTAAGAATTTTGATGATATAAATTGCCATTACATACAAGAAGTCATTGGGTAATGGAGATATAATGATTACAAAAATGTAACAACAGGGTATTTACTGAAAGCATAATACACTAAAATCAGCACTTGTGTTGTATTAACACTGCAACTGACAATTCTCCAGCTGTATGACCTGCTGAATAGTCCAGTGGTTGATATAATGAACAACAATCCATGTCATCAGGTTACTGTGACATGCCATCAGGTCACTGTGACACGCCATCAGGTCACTGTGACACGCCATCAGGTCACTGTGACACGCCATCAGGTCACTGTGACATGCCATCAGGTCACTGTGACACGTCATCAGGTCACTGTGACATGCCATCAGGTTACTGTGACATGCTATCAGCCAAGTCAGTCATCCATTTAATCACCTTTAACTACCAGAAAAGTTTGCCTGACCTGGAAATCTCCTCATGATCCCAAATGACTTTCCTCTTAAACTAACTATGTAGTGCAAAGAACACATTCTACCTGGGCCCATATGCACAAAACGACTTCAGCAATAAGACCATCTTAAGGCTATGTCTCAAGACAACTGGAGTTACAAACCTTGTAGGGCTAAGACTGCTTTGTGCATTGGCCCAGGTCCCCATGGGACACACTAAGCACTTTGCGAGACCTTAGTACTTCTGGTGACAAACGTTTCATACATTTTTGAATGGTCTCATGGTTGTAAGAAACAGATAATCCTTGCAGGAATAACAAATTTCTGACCTAACCATCCCCAAATTAGCCAGCTATTAAGGCTGTCAACAGCTGTGACAGCCAAACATGGTTATACACCTGGTCGGGTCTAGTAAAGTTATAATTGGCGGTCACGCAATTTGGAACCAGAACTGGTTCTTGAATATACGCTTGTCACTGGAAATCTGGTACCAGAAGTATGCTGGGCCCCGTCTTGGATATCGCAAGTTGGCGCACACAAAGGGAGACGGGAACCAGCTCGTACGTATGACAGCTTTGCCCTATGACAAGGAAACCTATCACTGTTTAGGTAATGGTCGTGTACAAACCTATGTTGCCGAGTGCATTGGTCTTGAAGGAGTCCTGTTGGGAGAGGTAGGTGTTGACTGAGTTGCGCATGTTGCTGATGTCATTTCGGAACCGTTCCTGGAAGGTCACCTGGCTCTCCTCATTGTGGGCCTCTACTGCCCGCTTCCTGTCCAACTTGGCATGGAGACCACTCACATCGGATGTTGATGACTCAGCTGTGCTCAACAGCTAAACACACAAAAACATCAAGTGAAGAAGACTTTGATTTCACAAAACTTAATTGCTCTGTCAATCCGCTACTTAAGTATTTTATACGAATATGTAATTTTTTTATTAAAATTGATATTTTATACTTATCCTGACTCATGCTTAATTGCTTGTCTCCTTCTTCTTGCGAATGATAGTGGAACACTTGAATCCCCTTTTGAAGCTCCCTTAAAAAAGGCGGACGTAAAATCACTCACCCAGTGTTATCTCCCTTTAGCTGTTTTGGCGAGAAACTCACATGACCCCACATGTTTTCACTCTCTCCGAATTATGCGCCCGACACCTGGATTTCAGGGAATCCAGAGTGCCATGAGAGGAGGTTGGGAGGGCTTACCTCATGAGTCAGGATAAGTATAAAATATCAATTTTAATAAAAAAATTACATATTTTTCCTTATCCTGACTCATGCTTAATTGCTTGTAGAATCTAACGGAACCGGTGGTGGGTCAAGCCACTCTGGATTCAATGCTGATTTACGTCCTGCATACCCCCCTGAGGGAACTTCTTATAGTACTATGCTGATCCTTTCTTCCAGCTTCCTCTGATGAGTTTGGGGGGACCACAACTTGTCAGATTTCTCTGGAACCGCTTCTCCTGACATTAAGTGTGGATTTATACGACTCCATGTCTTGATGCTCGTGATCAGTGTGGAGAAGCGACCCTTCATCATATACGAGTATGTCCTTACAAGTATAGGGTCTGTCACTCATGCTGGCCTATCCCAGACATGCGCATGGACTCTAAGCTCTAACTCTTCTGAGTGTTGGCTTTTACAAGTCACGTGATAAAAGGGTGAGATTCATCTCAGCGCCTTTGAGGAACCGTCAATTGTTGTGCTACAACAAAAGGCCCAAACTGGTGAATGCCGGAGACGTCCTTGGTAGCCATGTCTCTGAGGTAGTGGTTGGCAAACACCGTCTCTGACTTCCAATAGCAGCCCTCCATTATTGTCGAGATGGAGCAGTTTCCATGTAGAGCGAAGTGTCGATGCCAGTGCTCTGACTTCACGAGGATTGAGGCTCGTGGAGGCTCAAGTTCCTGCTGCTTTGTAGGCCCTTAAGATGATGGCTCTCATCCATATTGATATTGTTGTACGTGGGATCTCTGTAGGTGTCTCCGTAGATAGAGGGATGAAAAGGTGCTTGAATTTTAGTCTCCTCGTCTTAGACCTTTGTAGGTAGACTTTCAATGCTCTGACTGGACATATGGATAGATCCTGAGTATCCTGTGGCCCAAGGACTGACAAGAGTGCTGGGGATGTGGAATTTTCTGTCTGGCTGACCGGGCAGTTGGTTCTTTGCTATGAAATCCCAACTCAATCCCAGATGTATGATGTTGCGATGTGCATCAAATCGTATTCGTTCAAAGTCCAGAGCATGTATTTCTGACATCCGAGCTGCTGTTGCCAAGGCAACCAGGAACAGAGTTTTATGTGTTAGAAACTCATAGGATGTCCTTTCTAGTGGTTCGTAAGCGTCACTGGTGAGATGCTGCAAGACTACGTTGAGATCCCAAGCAGGCGCTTTAAATTTCTTTTGTTGGTCTTCCAACTTAAAGGAGCGTAGTAGAGCCAGTATCTCTGGTACTTTGGTCAGTTTACAGACCCGTCTTCATGGTGATAACTGAGCTGAGGGCGGCTAGGTATGTAGAGAGTGTTGAACCTTTTAACCGCCATGTTTGTCTTAGATGACAAAGGTATTCCGCCACTTGAGGATGTGTTGCTTTCATCGCCGTGAAGCCCTTCCTCAATGCATATTTCTCAAAACTCTGCCACTTGTCGTCGTACAAGCTGCGGGTTGATCTACGTAGGGCTAGTGTGACTGCGTTCGCTGCTCTGGCGGAATATCTTCTTTTCTTCAAGCAAGTTTTGATACGTTCCATACGTGTAGTTGGAATACTGGTGGACTTCCGTGTACTTGCTTGGTGTGCGGATGAATTAGTAGGTTCGGCCACTCTGGGAGTTGCAGGGTTGAACTTCAAAGTTCTTGTATGAGGATGGGAAACCACACCCTTGCGCGACCAAAATCAGTTGCAGGTTCTTCGCCTGCTTGATTTTCTGCAACACCTGCGGTATTAGAGCTGGAGGTGGAAACGCGTAAGCGTTTAGTGCTTCCCACTCAATCCCAGGAGATGCTTAGAACATCTGTTGCCCATGCTTGTGGATCCGGAACCGGAGAGACAAATGTTGGTATTTGTTTGTTGAACATTGTAGACTTCCGAGTCCACCATAGGAGATATGGTTTCAGTCCGTCCGAGTAGTCCGAAGGAGTCCAGACTGTCTAGATGAGCGTTCACAAACACTTGTAGTGGGCGCAGTTGTAGCCTTCCTCTGCGTGTCATGTCTTGTGCTGACGTGAGAAGACCAAGTAGGCTCTGCCAACTTCGTAGTGGTAACTGGGAGAGTAGTGCTTGAGATATCATTTGTTGTATCTTGACCCAACGCTCCTCTGGGACGACTATACGATTCTGCGATGTGATGAGCCGTATTCCTAGGAATTGCAGATCCTGTGTGGGTTCTAGTTCCGACTTGAGGAGATTTACTAGCCATCCTAGTTGAGTGAGTAGCCTGATTGTGAAGTCTAGCTGCAGTCTGAGTTGACTGGGATCTTGATGAGCTTGAATCCTGTCGTCCAGGTAAAATGCACTGCGTAGACCTCGATGATGTAGATATGTGATGATTGGCTTTGTCACTCGAGTAAACAACCAGGGGCTGACGATATTCCAAATGGTAGCACCTTCCATTGGAAGTGATGTTGAAGAGGAATCGTAGGTATTTCCTTGAGTCCGGATGTATCGGGATGTGAAGATACGCATCCTGTAGATCTATGCTGGCGAGGTAGTCTAACGGACGTACGAGTTGTCGCAGTTGAGGAAGATGTATCATTCTGAACTTTGCGGGACTGCGTAGATAATCTTGGTTGAATTTCCTCATGTTGTATATAAGTCGGAACTTTTCCCTGGAATTTTCTTTGGTACTAAGAAGATTGGGGAGTAAAAACCGAGCGTGACGAGCTCCTGTTTTATTTCTTCGATCACTCCTTCTCGGTAGAGTTGTGATGGCGTTGGTGAGGTTCTCCATCTGGTCGGCAGAATAGTTGTGGGCCAGAGAGTTGCTTGTCAACGGTGGTACTGCTTGTAGTTGTATCTTGTATCCTCTGTGTAGGATCTGGGATCGTGAGTCGCCCTGAAGAATTCCCCAATTCTTCCAGTAGCGTTAGACGTCCACCCACTGTTGAAGGTTGTATGGGAATGGCTGGGGTGGAAGACTCCAGTCGTTCGAACCCGTCCTTCAGCGTCTAAGTTCCTGGCACCTCTTGGTTGCCCTGCCTCTTCGGGGTTACCTCTGGGAGCTCCGGTTGGGCTTACGAAAAAAAGAATCCTTGCCTCCTCTGGAGCTGCCGTGATTTCTTTTCAATGGCTCTCTGTATGCCGTAAACTTGACTTGCGGGAGTAGGGTTGCGACGTCTGACGGATAACACTGGCTAGTGTATCGATGGACTTGATCATCATTACCTCCCTTGACTCTTTCGTTACTTCCTTGGCCACGTCCTCAATTTCCCCTGCGAAGATAGATGATGCTGACCACGGAGCTCTGTATAGTGACTTGGTGAAGCGCTCACTCCAACTACAGGAAGACAGCAATCCTTGTCGGCAATGACGAGTAGATCATTCTATCTTCTTCAGAGGTCAAGTTTCTAAACTTCACGCTTCTGAGGGGTTTCATTGATGGCTCTTGACCTGGCTAGACCAATGGCTCTTGACCTGTACGTTTGGTAGTTGTGTCTATTTGTACCAACTTTTTATCCTCCATTTTATAAGTCCTAGATCAGGAGTCGTTGATGATCTTGTAGTTCTCATCTATCTATGGGGCCTTCATGAAGGGTTCCATGCGGTGAAGAGAGAACTTCTTGGCGTTGAATGGTGGGACACTTTGACTCTGGAACTTCGTTGCCTTCCAGAAGGCTGTGCTGAGGTTCTCCGATACATCCAAGACAGGATCGATGGGTGGAAGGGTAAGTGTATCAAAGTCCTCGTTAGACATCATATACGTGAATGCTTCATTATCCTCTTCAGAAGGTGATGCAAGTTCTAATCCATTTGCCATCCAAGATTTGATCTCAGTATCGGAAAATATGATTCCACCATCATCTTCAGATTTAGAGGCTTCTTGTTCTGGAGATGGTTGCCATTGTGTCTCCTTCCTGCATGGAGACTTGCGTGGAGATCTTCGTGGAGACCTGCACGGAGACCTGCATGCAGGCGACTGATTCAGATAAGGATCTTCCCTGGAGCCTTGAGACGTGTCTCTGTGCCTTCGTGAAGGTGTAGATTCTCTTCTACAGTATGTAGGGTGCCTGCGCGCAGGCTCCTGATGGCTGTCCGTATCTGAGGAGGAGGATCTGCTATGCTCCAGTGAACGTCTGGTTCTGCTCCTGCGCAAAGGCTCCTCTGGAACATCTATTGCAGATTCATCGTTGTCCATGCTGAGCTGCAATCAGTCACAGCGACATGCTCCGTAGAAGCAACCGGTAAAACACTGGAATAGTGAATGTCAGCAGACAGCAATAAACAGTTATCAGCGCAATCACTCGGTTTAGACATGACTTGTAAAAGTCGTCTAGACCTGTCCTTGGCATGTCTAAGAATGGAATACAAATTATTATTAAATTCAAATTCAGATAAATGCTGACAAAGTTAACAGCGAAACCTGGAAGAACAATTGAAGTACAATTAGGACATAATAAATGCGAATCAGCAACCGACAAACGGTATCTGCAACGAATGCAAGTTTTCATCAGTTGTAAACAAGATAAAAAAAAAAACTGTCAACAACGTGAATAAACAGATAATTTAGACAAAAATTTCAAACCATATTGCTGGTATATCAATCGTAAATGCCGTATAAAGCTAATTTAGTAGTAAAGGCCTAAATATAAAAAGGATATAGCCCAGGCATATAGGGGACCCAGGCTCTCTCATAAAGCGTCCTCTAGGGCGAAGAAGGAGAGTGAAAACATGTGGGGTCATGTGTGATGGAGTTTCCACCAAAAACTTGCAGCTAAAGGGAGATAACACTGGGTGAGTGATTTTACATCCGTCCTTTTGAAGGGCTTCCAAAAGTACCATTTTTAAGTGTTCCACTACCTTTTCCACTATCATTCAAGAAGGAGACAAGCAATTAAGCATGAGTCAGGATAAGGAAAAATATATGTAAACTAATGCAGAAATATTTATGACATTAAATTTAAAAACATTTCAATAAATGTATGCATTTGAGTACAGGTTTCTGCTGTATTTCATGAAAATAATGAAACTTTGTCACTAAAGAAATTTATTTATTCTCAAAATCCATATATCTTTCACTAAGTCACCTTCTACAATTGTAGGAACTATACTCAAAGCACAGAACTAAACAGATCTGCTATTGAAGCCTTCAACTAAGTATGCACATCGATAATAACAATGAATCCAGCAAAATACATTTTAAGTGCAAAATGCATACATCATACCAGTTTGTTTCAAATAGTGTCAACTTTTCCCCAAATTTGACAATAATTTCAACCTCTATCCCTCTAAAGATTTTCCAATGTGATCCCTACCCCGTCACCAGTCCCCCCCCCGACAGCAAGCTGAGTGACAGGCTTACCTCAGTGGCCTCGGTGTACAGCAGGTCCTCTGTCTTCACATGTTCCCCCACCAGGAACTGTTGCTCGTCGCGGTCCTGGGTCGTGTGTTTCAGGTTCACCTGGGTCTCCTGCAGTGTTACTGTCGTCTCCTCCAGGTTCTTGGTGGTCACAGTCAGCTGCTCCGATGTCTCCTCCAACTCCTTCTTCGTGTCCGTGAACAGCTCCGACAACTACATCAATTATATGAAGTCATTAATGGTGCTGTGATCTGACTAAAACATTAAGCATTTTATTGCACACATCCACCTATGATGTAAATGTTTGGTAATGTGGTAATGTGACCCTCTAGCACCAACTGTTGTATGCTTTATTTGAAGTTTGATTACAAACTGATCTATCGACAGGCATGATAATGCTGTGCTTTGTGCCTATATCCAGCCCAGAAAAGTGCAATACAAAGTGACTATTGGCATAACATACACCCTGAGCCTACACATACCGAAGTCATCTCTTCTGTGAGGGCTGTGATTTTCTCCTCAAACTCCTGGATAGAGTCTTCCTGCTGACTGATTTTATTCTGCATAGCACTGAAACATACAAATTTTCAGCCATCAATCGCAAAGTTTTAAAAAGAAAAAGGTTCATCATAATGCTACCTGGAAACATTCTTCATCAAAGTCTCCAACGATGGGAGCATGTGGATTGTGCCACTGTTGAACAATTACTATTCAATTTAAATACAACAGAATAAACCACTAGTAATATACTGACAGTTTGTGACTGCTGCAAAACTGCTGTGTGGCCTGTCACACTGCTAAAGCTTCAACTCACACATAGTTCTCTTCGGCCAGGTAGATTCCATTCTTCTCTCTCACTGCCTGCAGATCACGACGTAGACGTTCTATCTCCTCATTATACTCCTTGAGAAGAGCCTTCTTGGTCAGTTTCTGGTTGACCTCTGGTCTGTTAGTGATGTTCTTGGCACGATGAGCGTAGTCCAAGGTGCTCAACGTTTCCTGCAAATGAAACACAAACAAACTAAACAAAGCACATGTACTGCTACATCTTATGTGACATCATCATAAAAATACCAGTTCTGGCAAGAATCAACCAAATGTGAGTGAGTTAGTTGGGTTTTACACCGCTTTTAGCAATACTCCAGCAATATCACGGCGGAGGACGCAAGAAATGGGCTTCACTCATTGTACCCATGTAGGGAATCGAACCCGGATTTTCGGCGTGACGAGCGAACGCTCTAACCACCAGGCTACCCCACCGTCCCTCAACCAAATGTAATCAAGCATTTACCAGGCAAACACATGGTCAATAGTATGAGCATCAGTTCGGTTCTTGATAGATTGTGTATGGATTTACGCCACTTTTATCAATATTCCAGCCATATCATCACAGGGGACACCAGAAATGGACTTCACACATTGTACCCATGAGGTGAATCAAACCTGGGTGTTCAGTTTGACAAGCAAATGATTTAAACACTTGACTACCTGACCACCCTTGTCCTTGTTTGAATAATCTGAAACCCTTATCATGAACACTGATAAATTATCTCTTTGCTGCATCATAAAATTCCTGCCTTGTACATTCGGTTTATCTGTTGCCTCACTGAGCACTATCTGGTTGTAAAGCGGTCTCTGAGCACTTAGGACTCTCAAGTAGTCTGTAAACGGCCTCTTATAGATCACCAGTGTTTACACTTAGGATATGAAGACATGCATCAACCATCAGCTGAACTTGTTAATGCCATCTTACAAGGATGTGCTGCTGAAGACCAATCCTCACCAAGATCCTCAATGGGGTTTTGTTTTAGTATGAAATTAGTCTTGACAGATATGAATGTCGCTGACCAGTCCTTACAATTGCCCACCAGATATGAATGTAGCCCTTACAATTGCCCACTCCGCTGCGTTACATCTTACAATACTGTAACTAAGACTGCTGTGTACCTCAAGGTTACAAGAGGCTGGGGAAATGGTGGCAATGATAGATGTCTTGGTTCGACCTCCGAGAGAATCTTGTAGGAGGCGAGTCAGCTTACTCTCTCTGCAAACAAAAAGCCCCTTTCAACAATTGATCTAAGCTAATTTCAAACAGTTGTTTACAATTATTTTTAAAGATTTACTTATCACGTTTTGAAACAAAATATTCAGTGCATATTATTTTTCTGTTGAAAACTAGTTCTACCATAATCCTCCCATGATATAGGGTCTTTTAACTAAGATCTAACTTTTCCAGCCAATGATGAAAAGAAATGAATCTGAATCAGTTTAGAAACTGACATGCGGTTGGCTATAAATAAAATAATCCATTTAGACTGGGTGGTTAAAGTTGGCTCTAGGGTTGTCTACAGATCTTTACACAGAGATATTGGATGAGAATAAGATCTGTTGTTAACGACATTGCAATATAAGAGTTTTACTGTGTGTTGGTATCTAAACCTGGCACAGACAAACAGCTGGTTGATCCTGCAGCACAAACCTGTAAGGTACATGGGGGGCATGTTCCACCAGTGCGGTGATAACACGGCCTAGTGTCAGCAGACTCTGGTTGATGTTACCTGTCAAACACATGAAATACATTACAACCCTGACACTTCTCACATCTCTACAGCTTTGAAAACTTCTACTAGTCCCTCAGCATGAATAACTAAAAATTTGAGGACGGGGGTCTTCATTGACAAGTAGTGGTGAATCGTTGATTGCTATAGTTCTAAAAGAGTTCTCAATACTTGAATTTTGCTACATATTAGAACTGAATAAAATAGACAGCAAATGTCAACATACTAAATATTTTTCTTATTCAAGCAGGACTTGGTACTTTCCCTGAGGATCAATGAATTATTTACTTACCAGCTTCCCGAGCACGCTTGTCAACTGCTCCCGATCTGCCAATGTTCTCACTCCCGGCCAAGTCAACCTGTCGCATAGTTAACAATGTTCTTCAGAGGTGTTACCATGGCAACACACCAAACCCCCACAAATCATAACACATTGGAGGTGCAGAACATCAGGAGTCCATTATCTTTTCACAGTTAGTGTTGCACTTGATTCTCAATCCTACACCACTGGTTGCAACATATACTTTATATTCATTATCATCATGACAGTCTTTTGGCATCCATTTTGGAGTCGTGTCACTTAGACTTCACTCAAAACAATGTTGGCAAACAGCTTCCGATCTGGAGACTACAATGACATCAACACAAGCACTTACCAGGTACAGCTTGCCTGTCTTGAGGAGTTCTTCCCCCTCTACCGTGTTCTCCTTGATGTGGATCGTCACAGAGAAGACTGAGTGGGAGCGACTAGACAGAACATGTCAGATACGCCTTGTATTACAACCAGGAATTCATGAAGTAATTTGTTCATTAAGTTAATCGAGTAAAGAGACGAGGACAGATAGGACCCAATTCAATCAGAGTCTGCACAAGAGAATTTCCACCTTCAAAACAACTGCAAATTCTCAATGTGATCATAATCACATAGTGATTCTTGTCCTCACAGACTAGAGGTTGTCATAGCTACCTAATGAAGGCTTATAAATCATTAAGACTCAGGGGGGGGAAATAACGTTAAAATTGCTAGTGTACTCCGGTACAGTGGCACATGTAAAATCACTTGCCCTGATAATTTTTCCACTATACCGTACGTTTTCTTGTTGATTTTTTAAATAAACAACATAATTAATATTGGAAAGTCAACTGGACACCGGTACAGTGTGATATACAAATTTGCTTGTCCAACAGAAAAAAACACTGGACTCGGGCGTCGGGCAATGGGTTATTTCCACCCCTGAGACTGAACCAGAAAACGTTCTGACTGATAATATGAGCATTGATCCATGTAGCCAGGGTGCAATGACACGCCATCAAAGAATCACCAAGCTTGACCACCCAATCTATTTGGCCACCACTTACGACCAGCTTAACCATCCTACCCCAGAATCCCATCAAGTTGAGTGTTGTATGAAACACCACAACCTACCTGGATGTAGCATTCATCAGTGTGGCGGCAGTCTGACGTCGGGAAGCTCCACGCTCCAAGATGGCATACACCTCATCTTTATTGCGAACAACCACATCCTCTAGGCCTGAGATAATCACAGAACCCTGGATGCAAGAAACAATGATCATGACAATGGATCACACACAAGACTATCTCAATAATCTATGGTATTAGACCTGAGTGCCGTTGTACAAAACGCGATCTTAAGCTTAAGGTGACCGTGAACTCCCATACCTTAACATGGACTTAAGGTAGCCTTAGCACAAAGGTTTTGTACAACGGCACCCTGATAATGAATAATACCTAGTGCTTCAAAACACTAATGTTGTCTATACTCAAAAGTGATTATATAATAGATTAGAGAGTACAGTTTAAACACTTACTTTAACTCGGGTTAGAAATATGTACAAGCATTACTGATCCAGATCACTACAAAGCAACTGGGTATCAAACTGATTCTTGTGTATCAAGGGCATCTATGTCTACATACCTTCTTTGTGCTGTCCTCATAGATGCGGAGGCGGAGAGGATCTTCTGATGATCCCAACAGGTCAAACAGCTCCTCATTGTACAGTTCTAGGAAGGACACTCTCACTGAGAACTCGACCTCCTAGAAAACAGGGATGAAGCACATGGTCATTGTGGTTGACAAATACAAAATGCTTCACAATTTGAACATACTGATTTTGTTCTTCAATCTGTTTGATTTGAGTCAGTATTGTATCAGTGTGAGTCTTGCGGTGTTTTTTCCAAGAGCAGGGCATGTTTGCCAATAGTCTCAGGATCTAACTCATCACAATTCAAGCATACAACTGCATGGATATGACATAAGGTTAATGTGAAATCTCAAATATGGTGCTTATATTTTAGCTCAACACACCCACAGTGTATTATATCATCATTACTTGAACAGAATCTTCACAGAGGGCTGCCTACCTGATTCTGCAGCTTCTCAAATATATGGTACATGGTTCTTGGGATGATTCCAGCCAGTGGGTCATCTTCCCAGGAGATGTTGGGGTCATCGCTGCGATCACCTTCCATTGTAAAGGTCTTACCTGTGCCTGTTTGGCCATATCTGCAAATAGGATACATTTTAACAGACAGACCTTTTCAGACATAGATGACATTGATAATATTCTAGAGACAGGAGATGTGAAGAAACACCTGTTGAAATATTATCACATGATACAAATGCGTTGAATGTTTTACATCTGTATGTATTTATGACAGTCATGGCATCTACTCAAATGTGTCTTCTATCCAGGGCAACTGGCGATATGGTTGCAATACTGCTGATGCCACGATGTAGTTAACCTCACTCACTACTGTCATGATCATCAATGGTATATTTATTCCTGTGGCGTTTTTTCTTTCGGGAAGATTTTCCCAAAATTGAGGCAGCAAACAAATGAAGCCTAAGCTTTTGGAAAGCTGACCACGAATTGCCTCTGGAATCTACACATCCTTCATTTAGACGGGGTTGACAAAGTTTGTGAAGGATTCACGAGACACAGCCTTCTATGGAGGTGATAACACATATTGCCACAAAGAATAATCTGTCAGAGATAACTGAGTGAATGAGCTTAGTTTTACGCCGCACTCAGCAATATTCCAGCTATATGGCGGCAGTCTGTAAATAATCGAGTCTGGACCAGATAATCCAGTGATCAACAGCATGAGCATCGATCTGCGCAATTGGGAACCGATGACAATAGACATGTGTCAACCAAGTCAGCGAGCCTGACCACCCGATCCTGTTAGTCTTCTCTTAAAACAAGCATGGGTTACTGAAGGCTCATTCTAACCCGGACTTTCGTGGGTCCTGTCAGAGATAAAGACCTGATATATAATAATGAGGTTGATATGCATTATAATATGCAATTTTAAAATCCTAATAAATCTTCAAAAGACTAAGATATACTGACGCGAAGACTGTACAGTTGTATCCCTGGAGGACCTCGTCAACAATGGGCGTGACAATGCTGTGGTAGACATCCAGCTGCTTGCAATGTGGGGGAAACACATGGTCGAAGGTGAAGGTCTTTGTGTGTGTGCTGACTCCTAGTCTTTCTTTGACTGTCACTTCTTTCTTATCTCCATTTGTATCTACTACTGCATACGATCCCTGTTTCTTCTCTATGCCATTGATTGGTCTGAAACAGGATAAAAGTCATGCTGTTGGCCTCAGTTGAGATAATGAATATTATTTGTAAGTTGTCATAAATGGTTAATAATTGAAAGTTCAGCACACAAGCAGTATCATATTATGGGCAATGACAACATTTCTAAAAATCATGGGGGACAAAATATTATGGAAAATAATTTTAAATGTTTTATTCCTATAGCCTAGGATATGAACACTGGCTATCGACACATACGATATGCCACTATACTATTACTATACAGTTATAGGGCATATCATATGTGTCGATAGCCTATGGATATGAAAGTAATCTTGACTTTTGAAGCATACGAAATCAATACATCATGTCATACACGCATCATATGCGAGATTAGGGAAGTAAAATTACCGTTAATAGGCCCCCACCAGCCTCCAATCTCCATGTTCATAGGAGAAAAAACACTTTACTGTTGACTTGTATACTCAACTCGACTCAAAATAATTCTGTACGTTCACACGCCTTTAACCCACATGCAAGAGTCTTCAATAGCACGCTCTTGTTGAAATAAGCATGATAAGAAGCCAAAATATAAGCTTTTCAGCAGTTCCACGGCCTTTTGTCATCTCATCGGATCATTGACACGTCCGAAAAAAACACAACTAAAACGTCTCAAGACAAACGATGAAATGTTACAACTAAACCAATTTTGTTGATTTACATACCGACATCGAACTGCAACTTGAATGTTTTGATTCTTTTCTTTTTCGGGTTTCTTGTAAAGAGGCATTTTGCCAGTGGTTTGTTTTCTTTGGAGCTATCGCCTTGTTCGAATTTTGTGACTATTTCGAAGCAGCCAATCAGATGAGTCAACCATAACCAAAATGCCTGTGAAAGCTTAACTGTGATTGGTCATATTTTCAAAATATCAAAGGGGAGTAACTCTCATTTTTCCACAAACTGGTAGAATGGTGTTGTGGGTAGTAACCCAGTCTTCTCAACTGAATCATAGCTTCAAATATATTGTTTTAGTCTGAAACCTGTTTGTATCAATATATTCTTCTTATGCACGATAATATTCTTCTTAATAAAACAAGGCTAATGGCAATGGCGTATATTTGACAGAAAGAAAACACAGCCATAATGTAATGCGAAGGATGAGTTACTTAAAACGCACGTAAAATCACCCCTGATATTAAATCTTAATAATTCACCACTTTCGATTTGCTATTTAAATAATTATTATCTGACATTCATGGCATGATATTGGTTAGCTCTGACATCAATGACTCCAGTGATTCAATGTTGCAAACTGAGAGAAAGGAGGATTATCAAGAGAAATACATATATCGGCCTATAATGTGTTCGGGATGGGAGATGCAATTTGAACGCAAAATATTTAAATACCATGTGATATTGGAAAAAGGAAAGACAATTACAGGAAGGGCCAAGATTTAAAAGGCACGCATTAGGGGATGGTCACCCAAAGAAGAATCAAAGAGTCGGAAAGATTACATATATAGACTACCACCGAATAAATTTTCATAAATGCGCATGCAACATATCAATATATATGAAAAGCGAAATTCACGTGTGTACAGTGGCAAATATACTAAAAAGTTCTCAAAATAATCACTGGACACATTTGTTCTACGTTTCGTTTCTTCAGGGAGCTCATATGTATAATTAAATCATAACCTTGCAAAACAAAATAGCAGGTAAGCTTTGACATTTTGATCAACTCCCTGATATATATATATGAACTACTCATAATTGTCCATGTTGGTATGTATATCTTTTGTTGAAAGATAAGGCTTGGCTCGGACCAGGTAGCAAATCCATGAGTCTTCACGGGTTATCTCCCTTTGTCCACCAACCACGACTTTTAATTGTTCTCTCAAACATACAAATTTGATAAGAGGATGGGAAGGATTGTATCTTTCATAAACAAGAGAAGAGTCACGTTGTCACGTTGTATCGGTTTTTCAATAATCTGTGTCTGCGCCGATAAGCAAGAAAAAGGCGTGCGTGTGTGAGTCCGTGCGCCTGTGCGTGTTTGAGGATGAAGGGAGGGGAGTGACAAGGGTGGATACAGCTTTTTTGAGAAAGGGTGGGTGCACACTCTTGAGAAAGGGAAGGTGCACACTTCATTTTCACCCGTTTTCAAGGGTCATTTAATAAACTTTCAGGACAAATGGGGGGTGCGCCTGTGCGTGAGTGTGCAAATTTTTCGATCTCACGAGTTATTTCTTCGTGGTTTTGTAGGAGCTATAACATTTGTGAGTCCCGAGACGGGATTTGAACCACGTGCTTTCATATTGTAGGGCGAAAGGCCTTGACTCAATGCTCACATAGGTTATTCCATGCTGAAAAGGCAAGGATGTTATCTGTGAGATGCTCCATGCCGTGGTATGCAGGGACATTATTAGAATAACATCTTGTCTCCGAAATGAACCTGGTACAGTATACAGAAAAAACGGTTCCTGAATAATAATCATAAAATGTAATGAAAAGGAGCCTAGAGACTTTCTTCATTTTCAGAACTTTGGTAATCTAGACTTGCCACATATTCTAGACTCGCAAGGGCTTCCTTGGATATATTCGTTACAGCTTCTGTATGACAGACTATAACATTGTCGGAGGGGCTTGTTTCACATAACATATGTGACATTTAACGGCAAGGTTGATCGATAAACAGAACAACCTCTCAGTATCCTATGTCCAGTGATAGGCTACCTTGAGTGAGTGTGTTTAGTTTTACGCCGCACTCAGCAATAGTCCCGCTATATGGCGGCGGTCTGTAAATAATCGAGTCTGGACCAGACAATCCAGTGATCAACAACAGGAGCATCGATATACACAACTGGGATACGATGACATGTGTCAACCATGTCAGCGAGGCTGACCACCCGATTCCGTTAGTCGCCTCTTACAAGCATGGGTTACTGAAGATCAATTCTAATCCGGATCTTCACGGGTCGATAGGCTACCTTGAAAATGTAACATGATGTAGGTATTTGAAAAACATGACGGTAAGAAATCACCCCCTCCACCCCCGCCGTGATATTGCTAAAACGGCGTAAAAACACAGTCGCTCACACATTCAAATAGCTTCTTTATACCCATGTATATTCAGATTCTAACTAATCATAATTTAGCCTTGCTCCAAGGCTGTACTGAGTGCTGAGCCTACGGATGTATAGTAATTCTATCCTAGAGACAAGTCTCGATCCTAGAGACAAGTCTAGATAAGGGAACAGTACATCCAAGGACGCCATTCTGTTAGAGGGATATTAATATTTTTGAGAAATTATCATTTAAACTATTAATTATTACCTTAGAGACTTGTGCAAGTCTTTTCATTATTATACGGAGCATATTACGAAAATGTTCGAACAGAACGTCGATGATTGTGGAGTGTTGTAACAGGTCGAATCCCAAGAAGGTCACAATGCGCCATTGTCGGAGCGTCCAAGACAGATGTGTCTAATCAGCTTCAATAATAAGTAAACTATGTTCACTGTCGACAAACCAGGCAATGGGCTCAATTTTATGCCAGCTCACAGATTGTACGCAGTTTGACCTTTGGGGGAGACTCTCCAGAACACAACCAAACCAGACAGTCGAAGATTCAAGGATACTTTAACACGGCAGACCACCCAATATGTACCTGAACACATACGTCCGCGTACTTATGTCCTGTTTGAGCAAGAAATTCCATTGATACAAATCAAGCCTCGAGATGAAGAAACATTGTCCTTCTACACCTGGCTTCATTGTAGTATATGCTTATGTAGATTCGCCAATTAGAAGGCGGAGATTCCCCCGTGCCATACGGTTCAGAGTATGGTATGACCAGGTTCTGTTTTCTTAAGGGAAAGGATATGTGAAAGTAAACCTCATTGACTATAGTGAGGGCAAACAGACGGAAGGCTTGATATTGAGCTCCTTCCTTTGCCAGTCAGAGGTCCTTATTCATGACTTAAAGTAAATAATCGCCGTGTTATAATTCCCGTATGTGGGGAGACTGTTCGACTGAAGTGGTTTCCCAATGACTTCATCGTGCAGGAAACTAAGCTGTACGATTAAGTGGAACTACTCGCGCACCCAGTAAAACCCATGTGGAAATAGAATTATTGCAGTGGGTCCGGAAACTTGGAAATCATATGTTTGTTCAACGTCGGTAGGAAACTTGTAAAAAACTGTCAGATAGAATCCGGAATTCCTGATATATCACGGCCGCCATTGATCTGTGACACAGTCCCTCAACAATTTTATTTTCCTTTCCGCCCTGTCAAATCTGCAATACTATAGTCCTAAATGAAGCAATTTTACATTTCCCATCTCTCATTGATTTCGTTTCAAGTTAATCTAGTTGGTTGTTTCTATCAAAATTATAGATCTTCGGAGACTAAGCTTTAGTTAAATGTTCCTTTACTGCGACTGGTAGATAATGTATATTTATTGGTTGAACACTTCTCGAAAAATGTATATTTAATATGCTAACGGGCCCTTTTGTGTCGTAAAGCACTGTTAGTTTGTTCAAATAATAATGTTCGTGATAAGAACAATGTTCAAGAGGACGCAAAGATACAGGTCTTTTTTATGTCTGTTCAATAATGTCGTAATGTAGTTTAGTAGTTCAGTAGTTGTTTTAGAAAGCATGAGTAAAACTATTTTACATTTGAGTAATATATAATTGTTATTTCAATTGGGAATGGTGATGCCCGCTTCATTTATGGGCACGTGGACACGGGAGCGCCCCAAGTGTTAGAGCCAAATCCACGTTCAACTCTCATATTGAACGCGATATCGGTGATCAGACTCGATAACTTGGTTGACACATGTCATCGTATCCCACTTTCGTAGATCGATCCACATGCTGTTGATCACTGGCTTGTCTGCTCCAGACTCGATTATCTACAGACCGCCGTCATATAGCTGGAATATTGCCCAGTGCGGCGTTAAACAACAAACAGACAATCTCAGTTCATGTCATTCCCCAGCACATTTACGCCATATAACTTTCCTGTTTTTCAACTGGTACTATTTGAGGTCTCTTTATAGGGTATTTATATAGGCAAATATGATACATGCACTTTGATTGAAAGTTTAAATGACATTTTTAATTTATTTTAAAAATTCAATGATTTAACGTCAAACCACTCCTTTTAACGACCTAGGTTCTACGGGATTTTGTTCTGCGTTTCTTGATTGGATTCTCACACGTGCAGTTGAGATTTGTGTCAAGTAGTTTTCGGGATTCAGGGATGAGCAGATGATACTCAAAGATGGTAAAACGAAGCTGCTTTCATATTTAGTTCCACTTAATGTTAACAGCTGAGCGCACATTTTCCTTACGGTTGTCATCCTCGATTATCCAGATCATCGTAGTTCTATATTTATTACTATAATGTAACGGGGATGTAACACACTGGATAAATGAAGATATGAGTATGTTTGACAGAATTTATTCCTATTTATTCCTATACACGGGATATTTTACAGGACCAGTAGTGAGTGAGTATGATTTTACACCGCTTTGAGCAATATTCCAGCCATATCACGGCGGGGGACACCAGAAATGGGTTTTACACATTGTACCCATGTGGGGAATGGAACCCGGGCCCTCAGTATTACGAGCAAACACTAGGCTACCCCACCGCCCCCATAAAACCAGTAGAATAAATCCCTTGTAAACACCCAGGTCATATCTAAGAAAGTTACATTTATATATTTCTATTCTTTGCTGTTTGCTGGAACATGCAGGTCTTAAACAAGTTGGTGGTCGTGTACCCTAATTGTTACAGGCGTTCGCACACCACACCGAACATAGGTTCGATTCACACATGGGTACAATGTTAAAATG